TACTAATTTTCCACCATAATTTGCAAATAAATTCATCAAAAATCCTACAATGTGATTTTCTGGATTTTTTTTCCTCAATTTGTCTGTCATAGTTGACGTGTACCTATGATGAAAATTACAGGCCTCTCTCATCTTTTTAAGTGGGAGAACTTGCACAATTGGTGGCTGACTAAATACTTTTTTTCCCCACTGTACAAAATTTTTTAACTTGGTCTTTGCTGCTGAAATTCGAGATCCTTTTCCAATGCCTCTTGCACCATCCGGACCACAAACTGAATATTCCTTCCTCTTTTCCAGAGCGCCTCATCATCAGCAAACAGGGAAAGGCCAAAACCAGGCCCAACATCCTTGAACATGTCATTCACCATTATGTTAAACAAAACTGGCCAAATTACACTTCCCTGCGGTGTCCCATTGTCTATCCCCACTAACTCAGAATAAGCCCCACCAACTCTGACCTGGATGGTCTGGGTCTTCAAGAAATCTTGGATTAAATTAAACAGCCGACCCCTCACCCCAGCAGAATACAGCTCCAGCAGCGGTCCCCCTTTCTAGAGAATGTCGTATGCCAGAAACACCGCCACCATTCCCTCCTTGTAGGCCAGCGCCTTCTTTATATCACAGTCCAGTGCTAGCACTGAGTCCATAGTACACTGTCCTAACCTAAATCCGCTCTGGTACGAGGAAAAAATACCTTTACTCTCAAACATATGTACTAATCTGTCTGTGACCATTCTTTCCATTACTTTACACAGTACAGAGGTCAACGCTACGGGTCTGTATGAACCCGGGTGTAATGCCTATTTTCCTGGTTTCACAATTGGCACCACTATGGCATGTTTCCTCACTGCTGGTAACGCCCCCTCTTCCCATACTGTATTAATTAACGCCAATACCTCCTCCAGTACCAAATCATCTAGGTGTTTAAGTTGCTCATAGCATAGCCCATCCATTCCCGGGGCCGGGTTTTCTCCTCCTTGTATCGCCCGGCGCAGCTCATTCATTGTAAAAAACGCGTTGCTCGGGTCTAGCAGCCATAATGCTCTCATGACACTGATTTTATTGTACACTGAACAAAAATATAAACGCAACATGCAACAAGTTCATATAAGGAAGTCAGTCAATTGAAATGCATTCATTAGGCCCTAATCTATGGATTTCACATGACTGGGAATACAGATATGCATGCATCTGTTGGTCACGATACCTTTAAAAAAAGGCAAGTCGTGTCTGCATGGCAAGTCGTGCCTTGCCATGCAGTAGCCATTTGATTAGATGTTCAGGAGTCTTATGGCTTGGGGGTAGAAGCTGTTTAGAAGCCTCTTGGGCCTAAATTTGGCGCTCCGGTACCGCTTGCCGTGCGATAGCAGAGAGAACAGTCTATGACTAGGGTGGCTGGAGTCTTTGACCATTTTTAGGGCCACCGCCTGGTATGGAGGTCCTGGATGGCAGGAAGCTTGGCCCCAGTGATGTACTGGGCCGTACGCACTACCCTCTGTAGTACCTTGCGGTCGGAGGCCGAGCAGTTGCCATACCATTACATTACATTACATTATAGTCATTTAGCAGACACTCTTATCCAGAGCGACTTACAGTTAGTGAGTGCATACATTTTTTTTTTCATACTGCTCCTCCTAAATAGACTATAGATTGGTTCATGGAGAATGGTAACTGGCAGCCTCAGATCCCCGAGTTTAGTTTCCCTTCTGATCTTCCTATCCATCTCTTTCTCCATTCCCTTTCTCCTCTATCCATCTCTTCTTGCCCCTTTCTCTCTGTAAGGCTGCCTGTACACACACAAAGGGTGCTCTACCCTCCCAGCTCAGCCCCCCTTTGTTTGCCAGGCTTAAGTCTCCCTTTGGCCCCAATACCAGGCAGTGATGCAACCAGTCAGGATGCTCTCGATGGTGCAGCTGTAAAACCTTTTGAGGATTTGAGGACCCATGCCAAATCTTTTCAGTCTCCTGATGGGGAATAGGTTTTGTTGTGCCCTTTTCACGACTGTCTTGGTGTGCTTGGACCATGTTAGTTTGTTGGTGACGTGGACACCAAGGAACTTGATGCTCTCAACCTGCTCCACTACAGCCCTGTCGATGAGAATGGGGGGCGTCCTCGGTCCTCTTCATTTTCCTGTAGTCCACAATCATCTCCTTTGTCTTGATCACGTTGAGGGAGAGGTTGTTGTCCTGGCACCACACAGCCAGGTCTCTGACCTCCTCCCTATAGGCTGTCTCGTCGTTGTCGGTGATCAGGCCTACCACTGTTGTGTCATCGGCAAACTTAATGATGGTGTTGTGCGCCGCCCTATGGGACTCCCAATCACGGCCGGTTGTGATACAGCCTGGAATCAAACCAGGGTGTCTGTAGTGACGTCTCAAGCACTGAGATGCAGTGCCTTAGACCACTGCGCCACAAGAGACGGTAACAGCAACATTATGTACAAAATAAGTTACAAACAATGCGAAAAACAAACAAAATAGCACGTTTGTTTAAGAGCCCATAAAACGGCAGCCATCCCCTCCAGCGCCATTTGCTGATGTTCACAACGTTGACATCAGCAAACCGCTCGCCCACACGGCATTATACACACTGTCTGCCATCTGCCCAATACAGCTGAAACCGGGATTTGTCTGTGAAGAGCACACTTCTCCAGCGTGCCAGTGGCCATCGAAAGGGATCATTTTCCCATTGAAGTCGATTATTACAAACTGCAGTCAGGTCAAAACCCTGGTGAGGACGACGAGCACGCAGATGAGCTTCCCTGAGATGGTTTCTGACAGTTTGTGCAGAAATTCTTCGGTTGTGCAAAACCACAGTTTCGTCAGCTGTCCAGGTGGCTGGTCTCCGACGATCCCGCAGGTGAAGAAGCCGGATGTGGAGGTCCTAGGCTGGCGCGGTTACACATGGTCTGCGGTTGTGAGGCCAGTTGGATGTACTGCCAAATTCTGTAAAACGACGTTGGAGGCGGCTTATGGTAGCAAAATTAACATTTTGTTCTCTGGCAACAGCTCTGGTTGACATTCCTGCAGTCAACATGCCAATTGCACGCTCCCTCAAAACTCTGTGGCATTGTATTGTGGTGAAAAAACAGCACATTTTAGTGACCTTTTATTGTCCCCAGCACAAAGTGCACCTGTGTTATGATCATGCTGTTTAATCAGCTTCTTGATATGCCACACCTGTCAGGTGGATGGATTTTCTTGGCAAATGAGAAATGCTCACTGACAGTGATGTAAACAAATTTGTGCACAACATTTGAGAGAAATAAGCTTTTTGTGCTTATGGAACATTTCTGAGATATTTTATTTCAGCTCATGAAACATGGTACCAACATTTTGCGTTTATATACTCTACCAGTCAAAGTTTTAGAACACCTACTCATTCAAGGGTTTTTCTTTATTTTATCTATTTTCTACATTGTAGAATAATACTGAAGACTGTCGTTTCTCTTTGCTTATTTGAGCTGTTCTTGCCATAATATGGACTTGGTCTTTTACCAAATAGGGCTATCTTCTGTACAGTAATCTTCGGTTACTACATGATTCCATATGTGTTATTTCATAGTTTTGATGTCTTCACTATTATTCTACAATGTAGAAAATAGTAAAAATAAAGAAAACCCTGTAATGAGTAGGTGTTCTAAAACTTTGGCCAGTAGTGTATTTGTTCAGTGTTTGTATATATACACACACTGAACAAATACACTACTGGCCAAAGTTTTAGAACACCTACTCATTACAGGGTTTTTCTTAATTTTTACTATTTTCTACATTGTAGAATAATAGTGAAGACATCAAAACTATGAAATAACACATATGGAATCATGTAGTAATATATATATATATATATATGACAGACATTACACTTACATTAAGACATATTGTAAGGCATTAGTTACATGAACAGAAGTCAAGCATAATAATATGTCAGAACATATTGTTTTGGTACAGTATCTATTATATTATACACAGTGTACAAAACATTAGGATCACCTTCCTAATATTGAGTTGCACCCCCTTTTACTCTCAGAACAGCCTCAATTTGTCGGGTCATGGACTACAAGGTGTCAAGCGTTCCACAGGGATGCTGGCCCATGTTGACTCCAATGCTTCCCACAGTTTTCAAGTTGGGGGGGATGTCCTTTGGGTGGTGGACCATTGTTGAGACACACGGAAACTGTTGAGCTTGAAAAACCCAGTAGCGTTGCAGTCCTTGACCCAATCAAACCGGTGCGCCTGGCACCTACTACCAAAGGCACTTAATCATTCACCCTCTGAATGGCACACATACACAATCCATGTCTCCTCCCATTCATCTACACCAGTGGTATTCAAACTTCTTCAGCGGTGACCCCATTTTTTTCGCCAGAATTTCTGAGGACCCCATTTGTTCCCCAATAATTTATTGCGCTCCCACCCCAAATCTAATGACACAACCTTAAAATCTGTAAATATAGATTTTTTACATCAACAAATAACCTTTAATTCATTGCATTTTTATCTCTTATCAAAATGAAAATAAACCAATAAATATTTGTACTCAATAAATTGGTATCTTTCAAATTATCTTTCTCAAAAACGTTTTATAATGTCCCATACAATAATCTGTACTCTTAATTTGTGTTATTATTTTTATTGGCGACCCCACTGCAGTTTCCTAGTGGGGTTGCGACCCCGACTTTAAATACCACTGATTGACGTGGATTTAAATCAAAAAGGGATCATAGCTTTCACCTGGTCAGTCTAGGTCATGGAAAGAGCAGGTGTTCATAATGTTTTGTACACTCAGTCTATGTAATACAGGGGTGTCAAACTCATTCCACGGAGGGCCGAGTGTCTGCGGGTTTTTGTTTTTTCCTTTCGATTAAGACCTAGACAACCAGGTGAGGGGAAGTTCCTTACTAATTACTGACCTCAATTCATCAGTCGGGTACAAGGGTGGAGCGAAAACCCGCAGACAATCTGCCCTCCGTGGAATGAGTTTGGCACGTGATGTAATAGATATGATGCCGTTATATTGTTGTTTTTTTCATGCTAATGAACATTTGGCATCATTATGCCACCCCTTTGTCAAGTATTATCCTGTCTCTTCAGTGCAGTGTACAAAGACAGACATTTCTCCTGTGAAGACTGTGATGGGACTGTCAGTGGCGGTTTTGATGCAACATCATCACAAGTATGAAAGCTAGAACCATTTCCTTTGTGTACAGGTTCAAATGCCATGCTGTGTACTTTGTATCACATCTGTAAGATACCAATTGTTTTTCCCCCTCCCCAATTCTAGATTGTTTTGTGTCAGAATAATATTCACCAGCAGTCCCACATGAACCGAGTGGTTACACATGAGCTCATCCATGCCTTTGACCACTGCCGGGCGCATGTAGATTGGTTTAACAACTTCAAGCACTTGGCCTGCTCAGAGGTGAGACCAAGAGATAAACATGCATGTTATGGGGGAATGCATTGTGTTTGTGCTCAGTTTTAATTGTGTTTTAAAGGAAGTCATGTTAATTGTTTGGCTCTTATTTTTCAGATTCGTGCAGCCAATCTCAGTGGGGATTGCTCCTTCCACAATGAAGTATCGAGGTTCAACTTTGGCCTCAAGAAGCACCATCAGGTAATATCAGGAGATAATGTGAATTCACTGCAACCAAAATTGCATTCTTATTTGTATGTATTTCAGTCAAAACTGGTATCCTTCATGGTGTAGCATAACATGATTTTTCCCATCCTGTGAATTGGTATGTTTGAATTGACAACCGGTTTAGTTGAAACTGTAGTTGAAAGTAATGGCAAGTATAGCACTGCCTTTTTCAGTGCTTAGTGATTAACAAGAAGTGTTTATGATGGCCAATATTCACATGAAGAACTCCCTACCTAACCCATCCCACTACTACCTAACAGGAATGTGTTCGGGGACGTGCCTTGCGCTCCATCCTTGCTGTTAGGAAGGTGAGCCGAGAGGAGGCGGAGAAAGTAGTGGACGAGGTATTCGATACCTGCTTCAATGACCACGCCCCCTTCGGCCGCATCCCACATGACAAGAAGGACGCCAAGTTTGCCTACAGAGATTTTGAGAACCGAGATCGGTATTATGCAAACCTTTAATGTGTTATTACGTGCACAGATTAATTGTAATTTAATTTCCATGGGTGCTATTGTGAGGATCCTTGCAGAAAGCTGGGCAACTACCACTACCCTCAGCAGAATGACTGTGTCAAAAATGGTATGAAATTACCTCCTGAGGGGAAATATTCAGAGTTCTTTCTCTCTGTCATTTTAAATAAATCAAAGGATATAATACATTATATGTTTTTATAGCACACTTTTGTGGACTCTAATGCTATAACTAAAGAATGTGATGGAGTGGTTTCCTTTTGGAAATTGAAAAACGTGTCCCTAATATTTTTTTTGTCATCCTTTTAGAGGTTCCAAAGTTGATGTTTATGCAGGGTATATGATGCCTGTAAAACGTATTTCGAGACTGAAAGGTGGGGACGCCCCTCTACTCTTTGCCATGTGGACATACAATTACTGAGAACTGGGAGTTCACTGTAAATAGATGTTATTGTATTGTATTGAATTAGTCAACTTGTTGAAATAAATATTTGATTATTATGAATAATATGATATTGAGTCTTGATTATTATTGCATTAGCATTTATGAATTGACAAAGACGTTTAAAAACGAATTCTACAAAGTGCACAGTTAATACCCTAGTTACATTAAACAGACACAGCATTCCCCGAAGACAGTATGACATCTAAATAAGCATGTTTCATGTTGTCGAGAAGCATGCATTAATCCGTGTTAGCATAATTCCTCTATCCATCAGAAGAGCAAATCAGTTCTTGATCAAGTTGGACAAGTGATGTTACTTCTCAGGACCTTAATATACAGTGCCTTCAGAAAGTATTCACACCCTTTGACTTTTTCCACATTTTGTTGTGTTACAAAGTGGGATTAAAATGGATTGAATTGTAATTCTTTTAAAAATTCTTCAAGCTCTGTCAAGTTGGTTGTTGATCATTGCTAGACAGCCATTTTTAAGGCTTGCCATAGATTTTCAAGCTGATTTAAGTCAAAAATTGAACCCTGCCACTTAGGAACATTCAATGTAGTATTGGTAAGCAACTCCATTGTATATTTGGCCTTGTGTTTTAGGTTATTGTCCTGCTGAAAGGTGAATTTGTTTCCCAGTGTCTGTTGGAAAGGTTTTCCTCTAGGATTTTCCCTGTGCTTAGCTTTATTCTGTTTATTTTTATCCTAAAAAAACTCCCTAGTCCTTGCCGATGACAAGCATACCCATAACAGGATGCAGCCACCACCATGCTTGAAAGTATGAAAATGTATGCACTCACTAACTGTAAGTCGCTCTGGATAAGAGCGTCTGCTAAATGACTCAAATGTTTAAAAAAAAATGTAAATATGAAGAGTGTGTTATGTTGGATTTGCCCCAAACATAACGCTTTGTATTCAGGACATAAAGTTAATTTCTTGGCCAATTTTTTTGCAGTTTTACTTTAGTGCCTTATTGCAAACAGGATGCATGTTTTGGAATATTTTTATTATGTACAGGCTTCTTTCTTTTCACTCTATCATTTAGGTTAATATTGTGGAGTAACTACAATGTTGTTGATCCATCCTCAGTTTTCTCCTATCACAGCCATTAAACTCCGTAAATGTTTTAAAGTCAACATTGGCCTCATGGTAATTAATAACTTAACCATGCTCAAAGGGATATTAAATGTCAGCTTTTTTCTTTTTTTTTTACACATCTACCAATAGGTGCCCATCTTTGCGAGGCATTGGAAAACCTCCCTGGTCTTTGTGGTTGAATCTGTCTTTGAAATTCAGAGCTTGACTGAGGGACCTTACAGATAATTGCATTTGTGGGGTACAGAGATGAGGTAGTCATTCAAAAATCAGGTTAAACACTATTATTGCGCACAGAGTGACTTATTATGTGACTTGTTAAGCAAACGTTTACTCCTGAACTTATTTAGACTTACCATAACAAAGGTATATACTTACTGACTCAAGACATTTCAACTTTTAATTTTTAATTAATTAGTAAAAATGTCTAAAAAAACATAATTCCACTTTGACCTTATGGGGTATTGTGTGTAGGCCAGTGACACAAAATCTCAATTTCATACATTTTAAATTCAGGCTGTAACACAACAAATTGTGGAAAAAGGGATGTGAATACTTTCTGAAAGCACTGTAGAGACAAGTCTCACCTATATTTTAAAGTACACTGTTGCCCTCTGAACCTTAGTGCAGTTAAGGCCTCTTTTTCTCAGTGTGTGGGGAGCAAAGTTTTAAAAAAAAACGTATTCCCCAGACAGATGATGGCAAACACTCTACATCTTATAAACTTCCTCTGTAAAATGTCATTGGGGACATTTTTATAGGACATTAGCATTTTGAGAATCCGTTATCCATCTTCTTTGGATTAATGAGGAACAGTTACGTGGGAATTAGCCTCCTAATCTTCCCACACCATTTGCTGCATATAGTAGCTTTCAGGCTATCGCAAAGAGTCCAGACATTGACATCTGAATTGTAATTAGAAATTGTGTGGTGAATGTTACACTGTACTTGTCTGTAATGTACACTCCACCAACAGGCGCTACAGAGGGCATACATCTTACATGGGCTCAAACAACAAGAGGAGTCGGTTGAATAGGACAAAGAAAATAAGATTAGGTTAATTTGAGAAGCTTACAGAAAATTGCACCCTCAAAGGCAAACAGGGGATTAGTGTTAACTGCATAATAATTAGTAAACAACAGCAGTTAGAGGATATTAACCAAAGGACTATGGAAATGCCACACAAGAAAACTGGCATTCAAATTAAACAATATAATTACTTGTAGAATTATTAACTTAACTCTGTTAATTGCCGTATTGAACGACTCACTGTGCTTTGTGACATTCTCCTTGTTTTTTCCATACATGCACTTGAGTATGTGGATTTATGACTTTTATACTTGTTTGAATGGCTGGTGTAATTTGTACTCTAATTAAATAGGTCCTTACTTTAGGGTGTTTTTTCCCCAAATCTGCCTCATGTAAAACATCTTTAGCATCATGATTTTGGAATTGGAACTGACTGACTTCGTTCACACAGGACCACGCAGTTGATTCCTGTACATATTGGGTGATTGCACACAACTCAGTTGAAATGCAGTACACTTCATCAATGTCGAATATATAAATACTACTGCATGCTCAAGTTTGATCCTTGCATTCAAGACCTAAGACATATCTGGAGTCATCTCATCTGTAGTACCATCAATGTCCTTAAGATGGCAGTCTTGATGTATCAAACAGGCTACAGTGGTCGATTAGACTCCATAAAGGAGACAGAGAAAGAAGTGCGATCACAGTTTTAGTGATACAGATAATTGAATCCATTTCAATGAGCCCTGGTTCAGGTGAATGCCAAGCCTTTATAGGGTAAAATAGAGCATGGTGATTAAGTTACCACTGAGAGAATGACTTATCTCATTACTCCATCCATTTAAACAGGCAGCTCCCACTGAGTTCTAATTAGAATGTTCCAGCATCATTTAAGTCCCCTGCCTTCTCTAATCTACTCTAGGACAACACATTAACCCAGACCTCACTGATGAACTAATGTGTTTAACTTGAATAATTCCAGATTTAGTTGTGAGGGGTAATATCATCTTTAAACTTGAAGAACAGAAGGAACTATGACAAGAATCCGGTTTGTGCCAAAATTCCACAAATAGGTTCCCAGCATTTTGAAAGCATGGCTCATTAGTCATGTTGGCACTGGATTGTTCTTGACTTTTTTGGCGGGGACAGCCCTGGGTATATGCTTTGTGCCCCGGTACAGTTTTGAAGAGGCAGGTGTGAAACCAAGCTTATTATGCCAGGACTGGAGCAGGTACTCGTTCTATTTGGATGGCTCTTCCAGTCCAGAGAGTGAGCTAAGTAGCATGCTGAAGTGTAAAACACTACTTACCAGCAAACATGAAACATGGGTAAAAACCAGCTGGAGAGGGACTAGACCAGTAGAATTTACAGTATATTGATCTTGCCAATGTTATCTGTCTTTCAAAAAGACCCTGGCATGTGTCCACCATTATGTTAAAGGGGTATTTTAGCCAATTATTGCCTGTTTCTCCATATATGTTGTGTATGGAGATTACCATAACAATTAAAACGAAAGTACATTGTCACACTTTTGTAGGATGTTTGATGAGGTTTCATTTCAGCCCAAATTAAGAGTTCTGAGGAGTGACATAAAAGGTTAGGTCACACTTTTTGCTAAGATGGTCATGCACTGCCCAATCTCCCTCACTCTTGGGTAATGCTATAACAAAAGAGAAATATTGAGTCCATCAGTGCCTGTTCTTTAGCCTGAAGTGGACCATGACTTTTATCTGATTGAGGACAAGGTTGCTTCTCTAAAGATGGATTCCTGAATCATTTAATGTCCTTGTAAATCACTCAATACATGAAAATATCATGATGTACTAAAACTAAATTAATATCAGCTGGTTTACTACCGCCTTTAAGAAGTGCACTCATTGTGGCATTATGGTTAATAATATGATTAGGAAAACTGTAATCAGCTCACTCTGACAGTAATGAAATGACTAGCTATCATTATAATTCACAGCACAAAGTCACCTCAGGCTAAGCATCTAACCTGACGATTAACTTGCCCAGCAGGTAACTGCTGTAAGAGGTGCTCAGCATGGCGGTTGGAAATCAATTAATTATGTGTGTAGGGAATTTAATTAAGAAGGTGTTTATGGGTTGGCACAGACCCAATTGCCATCACCATCTTTTTTATATATATTTTAAAATGTAATGAAGATTTGGTACTGAGTCTCGGGCTAGTTTTAAAGGCGAACTAGCACATATTAGCAAATCAATTACCTGGCTAAACAGTTCTTATGTGAACACAGAGGTCACTCAAAAGACTGAGATCAATTTATAATTTAAAAACCTATATATTCAACCTCCCCCACAGAAAAATGAGTTCATTACCAAGCTTCTGCAATGAAAGATTCAATGAAACACTGTAGGCTTAGTATTTTTGCGAAACAATTTTAATGAGTTGAAAAATATAATTAGGCTTGTCCTCTCTCAATTTAGAGTCCCTACTTTGGCTTGATCATTATGAAGTCATCACTGTATCTACATCACCACAGTATAATAAACGTGTAACTGTGTAAAATAGTCAACAACAGTTGTTTTAATCTTTGTTCTCAGACATACATAGCATGTAAGGTCAGGGCAGAACAACAAGTGGTTTAGTGATAAGAAGCATCTTAACACTGCACCTCATTGTGTCTGCTAGATGACAGAGATGAAACGAATGTTCATAAATGACTCTTGGCAGATTGTTAGCATTCATGGCAGAAATGCTTGACAAGTTCTTCAGTGGTAATTAATGTCTGCTGGCATTTGAATCTTCATTTTGCACTAATGATATGTGTGGTATTAATTAAGTGATTAGCATAACAACCATTGGACAATGTCCTGGGGGAAGAGCAGGGGGATGCTTTTTCTCTCTGTGAGCCATGTGCTCATTAATGATTCCTTTCAGCTAACTCCAATAACCTTAACAA